TATGTTGTGTGCAGCTGCAGCTAATACACAACAAAAACTGGTTGCATATAGTATACCAGTATCATCGCAGAGGCGATGACAGACGAATCCTTTGATCTTGCAGCTCCTGCACCATTCTTGCTATTTTTCTAGAAAACGGTCTCACTGGAAAGTTTCTCCTGTAAATATTCCTAATTTCGCTTTCAAGCCTTTTTTTTCAATCTTCTCACTTCTGCTCACTCCTGCAAGACTCCCACTCGTTCTCAAAATTCTGTTAATTATCCCCTGCAAAGTGAACGCTGCTGACAGCGTTAGCAGGCGGACGGCGAAAGGGTCGTGCCGTCAACTCGCTGTATCCGTCGTAATCGAGCGTGTTTCCGGCGTGCCCCGCTTACTTCTTCCGCTCTTTTTGGCTAATCGGCCCAGCCAACCAGCTCCGCTACTCTGTTGTCGAAGGACTTTTGGTTAAGTTTTATCAACCGAGTAATTCACTGTTTTGTGAAGGGTAGGAGTGTTTTCAGTATTTTTTACTAATTTTCTATAGCTTTATGTACTCGATTTACCCCACCCAGTTTTCTTTGGATTTTATGCGAAAAAAAAAGTTTGTATAAAAATTATAACTATAGAATTCTCGTTTACAAAATCTTATAAAAATCCTTGAATCCTTCCTTACTATAACGGCAGTTTTGCTTATTTTCTACAGTTCATATTCGTATAAAAAAGCTCACAACTTAACACTTCTGTTGCTCTTCATTAAGCTGTTTCTTTAACATCGTTTGCTCTCGTTTTATAGCATCATGGGAACAAAAAAATTGAACTCTGATGTAGCTACTTCTGTGCCGTAATTCAGCCAATTTTTACTTGCCATTTGCTGGAGCTTTACCCTGCAACACACTGGCTAAATGACTGCACAACGAAGAGCTCATCTTAAAACTCAAATGATTATTGCGTACACCACACTTCCGTTCATTTTGAGCTACTCGAAGTCCTCAGTACACCTATCCATTTTACAACTGCAGTTCTGTTTTCTATTTCTCTCATACTTGCCAAAATCTTGCAGAACTTGGGAATTTCTACTTCACAGTGATCCTGTCATGTTGACTACGTGCGCTTATAATTACAACCAATCCCAATCATTTTTTGAAATTTAGCAATAAATTATCTATTCGCTAATAATACAGGATGTTTCTTTAGCAAAAATTGCTGTACTACCCCTTCCCCCCCCCCCCCCCCCCATCTTCTACTCGCCTCGTTCCCTTTACCTATGAATCTACTTTGTTAATGATAATTTTTTTCAAATTTGCCACATCGGTTATCTATTCCCATGTGCCAACTTCTGTCCGATATCAAAGCTTCTCCAACATTTTTTGGGTTTCGTTTTGATTTTCGGGGAACTGACAGGGTTTATTTTTTGTAGAAAATTTACCCTGCAACTATAGCATGAAAGTGCCTAGCCTACTTATCCATTGAATGTTTATTCTGAAGGCAAAATGCTTGTAAATGAGGCTAATTTGAGCTCGCGGGCTATGGTTGAAAAAACTTGTTATTAACTTCTACTGGTGATTATTACTTTTTGCTCCGAAAACCTAAAAGTAAAGGCATGTGTGAATTTTTTTGGAAGTTTGCTATAATTTAAGCAAAGACCATAATTCTCTTACAAATTTATAGTTTCTAGGTTGTAGATCACTGGAGGACTCGAAAAAAGGGTAGCTGAGGGCTAAACTAATTATTGGAGTGAGTTACGCACCACTTTCAACCAATTCACTTCGAATCCCTGTCCTTCATTCACTACCTCGTGCGCTTCAAATCAAATATGAAAATCTAATCAAAATGTCCTCTATGAAATTCGCCGTTCGCTGCCTGATCCTTCCTTTAAATTCTCGCTCACGGCTTCCCCCACCATCTTTGGTCCATGTCCCAAATAAGTGTGAGATGAGCTGACTTGATTGATGAGTGACAAGTTGAAGTTGAAGGCATGTGCGTGGCGTAAAGTTCAAAGAATATCTGATTACTGTTTTTGGATATCTTAGAGTAATACTGCTGTTCTTGGCTAACATCGTAGGTTTATGATGCACCTGCATTTTTTTGTTTTTTTTTCACTTTCATTTTTTCGCTTATTCTCACTTTTTTCGTCTAATCGCTACTCAAAAGAATTTAGCGATTATTTGGGCTTGAATGTGTATGCAATATGACAGTACATACTACCCGATTGATTCTTAGAGCTTTGCCAAAACTGCCTAGTCTTGGCTTCAGTATTTACACCAAACAACTTACATTTGCATAAAGAATGTATGTCTTCCTCATTCGATGGCAAATACCATAATGATTTCGAAGATCAAGCAAGCGAAAATGTTCATCATTAATTTTGGAACTATCTCCTTTGATTTTCTACTTACACTACTAGAATCACATTTTAGATTATGTCATGAGATATCTATTTGACATTTTTTGCCCAGTTTTTTGCTTCCGCCTTTATTATCCCCTTCATTAATTAATTATAGAACTAATGCTACAAAATATTGTCATGTATATGCCTTAAGGTCATCTTCCGGTTATTTACTTCCTCTTGACAAACGCTTAGGGGATATTTTTTTGCCTAATTTTTTGCTCTCGCCTTTCTAGTTTTCTTATCCCTTTATAAATTATTTATAGAACTAATGCTACAGACTATTGATATGTATTTACTTTGAAGCCTTCTTCCTGTTGCTCACTTCCTCTCAACAAATGATTAGGAGACTAGTAAAGGTTATTTTTTTGAAGATTAGGTTGATGTGCTCATAAAAAATATTTCACAAGGTATTTTTGCCAAGTGCTGTTGTGCATTATATAAAGTGACATCAGTGGCGTCTCAGAAACGTTTTTGTGGGGGGGGGGGGGAAGGTAGCCAATGAAGTCCTTCCTAGGATAGCTGGTGTTCCATTAGCTCCGCCTTCTAAAATTGCTGCGGAACCTCAAAATTATTCAACCGCAGATCCTTAGAATTATATACAAAAGGGGCATTTTGTCGACCATGTCGAACTTCTCCTCGGAAGATGAATTTTTTATATTATCCCAAAACGTTTAAATGAAGACATTCCTTGCACAATTTTTTGACTCATAAGTATCAATTTTTGCAGCGTTCCCCCCCCCCCCCCCCCGCTTTCACCCACCTCTCTAACGCTAAAGTACTCACGATAAACGTAACTAAATATGGGAGAAAAACAGATGATTGCAAAGCGTAACTGAATAATTTCTTTCGTATACATATTTGCACAAAAATCGATGAAAAGCACAAAAGTTGGCTACTTTACGGTTGTAGTTCAGAGATGTTCTTTACCTTAAATGTAGTACATTTCAGGCAAGAGACAGAAGTTCAGTAGTTTTCACTTTGTGAGCATTTGAATTTTCTCGATTTTGATTGAGGCTAATTATGCCATGTGTCCTCGCAGATGTTTTTTGAATCACTTTTTGAATCATTAGATAAGTGGGAGTGAGAATTATACTTTATTTTCCCGCGGTAATAATAGTCTCACTTCTCGGAGCTACAATCCGAGGATTGTCGTTCTTGTATTAAAAAAAAGCGTAATATACCATCTGGCACTGGGCTGGCTACTATCGCACTTATCAATTCTCAGTGGCCAATACACTTTCCTCTCAGGACTCACTAGAACCACGTAGTAGACGTAAGTTATGAGTTTATGAGAGTGCATAAATGGCTGAGTTAACGAGTGCAATGCTATAAGTCGCCCGTCGTTCTCGCCCCCCTCCGGCTCTCAAGAACTCGTCCAGTGCACCTGTCGTTCGATGTCCCCCCCCCCGTGTACGATAATGTATGCATCGATTGTTGTCTTATGAATGAATGCCTAAGCATAGGTGAGAAGTAATCGAAATTCTCGTTCCACTATGCCCTTTACAGGTGGAAAGTTGAGTCACGTGCCTTTGAACTTTTTAAAATCATTTCCTATCCAACTTATAAAGTCTTAATGTAGTACTAGAGTCTTTTCAGTGGTTCTCATTAGCTGCTTGACAGGTACAGTTATGTTTTTTTTTTCATTGTAAAACGAAAAAGTTTCTATTTTTGGCAAACTTCAATGGATATCAATGCTTGTTTTTGCCTATATTCCTTATATTCTTTTGTCAAACCCAATGATCGGGCTTAGCTTCAATTAATAAAACGCTCAAAAATAAATCAGTCGTATATTATCACTTACAGGTAGCTTGTTGGTTTCCATCTCTTGTATAATCTTTTGAAAAATATTTACAAAATTTGTTACGGTGGCACATACGGTGACATCCCTCACATCATCTCCAAAAAAATTCCCGAAAAATAAAGCCTGTTTTCTATTTTTGTAGAGAATCGTATACCTATTTGTATTATTGATCGTTCCAAAATCTATAGTGACGTTTCTTTATTACTCTAGTCTCAAAATTTACCCCCTGATTGTTTAGAATTTCAACATTCACATTTTATTTGCATTTTTTCTCAAGCAATTGATGACTTCAAGTATGACTATCAATTGACATAAACTTCACTCCCGTGGGAAAAAAATTGGTTGAAACCTTTTATAAATGTTTTTTTATGAAGTCTAGATGTTTTTCTGGCAAATCAATTCCCAAAAATCTAAAGTATAATTTTCATACAAATCGGCTCAATCATCAGGAATGCGAATTTTGAGAGATGGTGATTTTGGTGCCAGAATTTTTGTACCAAATTGCCTTGTGTCAAAACTTTCCGAAATTTCACCTCAGTCGTGTTTAGTAGACCTTTTGTAGTCTTTCCCACTTACTCTAGTCTCCATAATCTAAATTATAGTTTGTGTGAAAATGTTTGTTCTTTGATTTGGAAACTAGATTGTTATCCATCACTTTTTTAGGATCTGTGATGCTATACCTTCCCTTGTTTTTCTGAGAACGTTTATCACATATCTAGGAAATTTTCTGCTGGGCTTCATCAGATTCTTTTAGGCATCAAATATGAATCAGTATCTTTCAAACTATGCAGGAGGCGAAAAGCATCATTATATCTCAAATTATGCCGGAGGAGAAGGGCATTTGCGTTCACAAATTCGTCAGGTTCCTAAAGCTATAGCGTATGATGTAAGTAGGAAATGGATTGAAACTGACCACCATTTCCATTCTCACCTTCTTCTATAACCTCTACACTTCTTCTCTCTTTTTCTTCTTTTTCTTCGTCTTCCTGTCCTTCTCTTCTCCGACTATCCTCGACCGTATTTCTCGTCCTAACCGAGATCGTTTGAAACTCGCGCAGCAACCATTTTTGCCTGATTTGTAGATGTGGGGCGAAAAGGAGAAATCGGATCCGCTGCTCTTGGGTGGATTCAATATGGGCATGGGAAATGGCCTGCATCCACACAAGTACTCGCATCTCTACCAAGGACTTCACCAAGGAATCAACGGAAAGTCACGACCTGTGGTTTTGTGGAAAGGAGAGACTGCCAGGAAAAAACGATTCGGTTGGTTCAATTTGCTAGGGATTCAAGGGGGTAAAAATTTGAAAGAATTGTCAAACGTCGAAGAGCTATAGAAGGATAAGTTTTTTGACCGGACTGATTTGAGAAAGGAAGCAGATACATTATTCTGGTTCCAAAGAGTCATTGGTAAGTTTCAGAAACCCTAAAATCAGTTATGAAGAGTACAGTGATGAAACTCGTAAGCCTAAAGATGGAAGACGACAAAGAATTGATGAAAAAGGTTCAAAAGAGAATGATAGGAGGAAGCATCGCTTTTAAAGAATCACGTAGTACGTAAAGTTGTCTGATGTATTCTTGGTGTACAAGCTTCGATTCCAAATTCTCAAAATGAACGCTGAAAAAATATCAAATTCCGAACATTTCATCTAATTCGACTATAAAACAAAGTTATGGTGAATTTGCAGTTCGTACAAAATGATATTTGTATTTATAAACACATGTGAATAATCCCAGAAGTAGAAAACAGGGAAACGAATTTAGCTTGGCGTCTTCCACACGACTGATTCTAAATGGATAGAGTATGCTTGATAGATGAAAAGTCTTAGTTTTGTGAAAATCTTATGAAAATTCTCAGGACATAATTTGTGATTCACACTAGCAAAAATAACATTTGCATGCTACATGTAGACTAATATAAAGCAGTCATAGGGATTTCGTGCAATTTTACTACAAACTTAGGTAAACCATATTCAAACCCTAGGTCGCTTTCTGGAGATACCAACATTTTATCCGTTTATATGGTCCGCGCATTTCTTTCTCTCTCGGAAAAACCGACAAAAAACAATTGAGCTTCTCTAATCCAACTTCTTCTAACCCTTGAGAAACAGGAATCATTTTGAAAACTCTACTAATGTGTAAAGCACAACTAGTGCGGCAATCTCGGCTCCTCCTCCTGTCCCCCTCCCTCTTTTTTAAGGATGGGTCAACAACTCTTTGAAAGTAACCTCTACGAGTTTGTAATTGCGAGATGACATGTCTCCAATTTTTAATAATTGCAACGATTCTCGAAATTTTTGAAATTACAAAGAAATCTTCTCAATTTTTGTTATATGCCGACAAAATTCTGAAAAGCATCCCAAATTATTTCTAGCAGGAGTGATTGAATTAACCATACCCAGAAATTTTTGTTGCTCCCCACCCCCGATTTCAGAACGCTACTGCCGTGCATATGACACCTTCCGCTACCAGGCAATCCCGTGATTTTCGGAAAGGAAGAAAAAGAAGAGAAAATTTTTTTGAATAAAGGTGCGCGGCTACCGCTAGACGCTCCGAAATTTGTGGGATGCTTTTCAAAATGCTCACCCGTAACCCCAAAACACGTTTTAAAAAAATTTTATTTTAATTATTTACAAGTATAGATTAGTCACTTGCACATTTTTATTCCCATCTAAGTAACCCTGACATTTAGCGGATATGCCCAGAAAATGGCTTCAAGAATGAAAACTTCTCGGATCTTTAATCAAACCCCATAACAAAACTTATTCTCATTGTGTTCACTCTAAGATAAGGAAATGTCAAGAAAAATGTTGTTGGAAGGATACAAAATATCGATGGATTGGATAAATTGGCAACTCAATGCCGATTACTTGTTTGTGGTCATATATTTGCAAATTCTGCTTGGAAATGGTTAGATTGAATGTAAGATTTTGTTTCTAGAAACTAGCATGCTTTGCAGTTCAAATTCAAACAAAATTGTTGCGCAGAAAATTTAAAAAACTGCAATTCAAATGGCACATTACCACAAGCACTTTACAACACCCTAGCTCAAATCTACAAGATACAATAGAGCGGATTAGGATAAGTGACATTTTTCTAGTATCTTTTGGCAGCTTCAGGTACAGTTGAGGTGTATTAATGGACACCTTAATAGTGTGTAGATACAGACCGTTGGTATAAGATAAGAGAGACAGGCACGCCGTCAAGTGTAATTCGGTCTTGCGCAATCAGGTGACTATAAATTTAAAATCGTTTATTCTATTCTTTCTGTGGATCGCAGCCAAACCTTTTTTGGATCGTTAGAGAATGTGGAAGTTTCAAAAAATACCTTTCCACTGCTTCAGTTTCACTTTTGAAGTTCGAAAAAAATCCGCGCTTAAGAAAAGAGCTTGTAAATCTGGGCAGGGAAAGTCGCTTGATTTTGAGTAAAACTTCCTCAACCCTAGCAATTGGTCTATCAAGCGGGCCCAGACCCAGACCCACTTGCGCGTGCAATGACTTCCAGCATCGAACTTCGTTTTTATTTCTGAGAGTGGCTCCATTCGCGGTATTATCAATTAAGACCGTATACTAGAAAAATTCATGTCTTCTTCGATTGCTCTTGTGAGCCTGTACTAGCACATGGAGGTACCAAGTGAAGCAAGTTCGCATTGAAGAGCGCAGGAAGAGAATTTGTAGGGATCGTACATGATTAGTCCCAAAAGGCAGAATCTCTGGAGAGCAATTGCTTTGAAGATACTCGCAAGACTTGTATCAACTTTCAGCTTTTCTTAGATTATATAGGGTGCATTCAAATAACAAAAGTCGAAAAGAAGATGGACTCAGAATCTTCGTTTGAGCTGGAAACAATCTAGGCAAAACTCTAGTGAGGTGCTTCAAAGCAGCGCGGATTAGTGATTCTGCATTTGGTGATCAAGCATACTATATCAGACCATCAAAAAAATAACCTACTAGACGGTGGGTCGTACCTTACGCAAATTCAGTCGCGACGCGATTTGACAATACTCGAGTTCTGCATAACTCATGGTACGTCATTGTAAAAGGTTTCTGATTGTACGAAAGATAGGGCGTTCTATCAACATATGAATCCAAACAAGCTGTGCATTTCGGGTCTGCCAGTATTAGATTTGAAGACATCTGGCAGGTGGCCAGATTGCGTGGTGACTGAAGGTAAGGTATGCCCACGACCTTGGGTTATCATAAGTCTTTTCATATCTGACTTTTCACCGATGTAATTTAGCCAGGGCTCGGCCACGAGCTGGCACGAAGGAATTTTCAAATCGAAGTCCCCTTGACTTTCGCTAAGTTTTACAAAGTCCCATTTGACCCTAAACGCCAAATGTAAAAAACCCCCCAAAGAAACGTCGACCAAAAAAACATCGCAATTTCCGGCCACAAAAACGATATTGCCTTTGCTTTTTGCACCAAAAACGATATTTAGCTTGCCCCTTGCCAGGTGGTGCCAGTCCCTGGATTTAGTTTTTCTTACATACGTATAATATGCGGGGTACCATTCGACAAATCAGAACAAGTATAAGATGGCATGTAAAATTTGCACCAAGTTGTCCGCATCTGTTTCTGGCTAAAATAAAAATTGAATTTTCGAAAGAACAAAAAAAATCGTATTTCACTTCCAATTTTGCAAATCTCCCACTCGCTCATGATATACTTTTCCATCAGATATTTATACATACATTTGCTGCATTTTTCTGATGGAAATCAAGAAAAAATAATGCGCTAAATTTTCAAACTTTGCTTGCAGCGGTTCTGTGTCGCAAATGTGTGATTATTTAGCTTATTCACTCAGAAATACTGCCACAAATTTGCAACTTGTTGTGCCTCAGTTTTTGAGAAATATCAATTAGTTTCGACCCAACATCTAAAATAATTCATTCACAAAGTCATATCTTTCCGAAGTTCTTATAGAATCCGCACATGCAATTTTTGGGGCTTGTTAGAGGAGCAACGAAGGAATATGATTTGCTTACCCCCTCAGTTTTTGCAAATACAGTATGTTAACGCTTTTGTAAGCTCTGAAGTTTGTTGTTCTTGGTATGAAGTTCAAAAATTCTTGTTGCTCAAAAAGCGGCATTATCTTTTTGATAACCCAGCAGGCAGGGTGTCCCTAAAATGTAATGGGTTTCGAACGTTGGTGCCTTTGTTGCTTGAGGGTCTTCCGTCGATCTTTAGGTACCATTGTGTACAATTGGTTACAATTCAGTACAGTATGAACCGACATCGAATGTTAATTACTGTATTAGGGAACCTCACAGGTTAGAGCGTTCTTGTAAAATGGAATGCAGGAAATTTTCAGAAAAAATCTAAAATGGTGTAGCAGAGCTAACACACACGATGTTCCCCTTACCTAGTTTTTCATGAGATCGTAAAGTTATAAAATCGTAATCTAATATTTTTAATTTTTAGTAGTCACATTTTAGCAGTTCTTACGGTATACTGGCGTAACTTATAAACGAAGCATTACGGTGAAGTGTAAATTTTTTAGTTGAGGTTTCGCTTTTTGATTTCTCTTCCGAGACAAAATTCTTTCTTTAGCTTGAAAACCCTCTTCAAATTTCCGCCGTAATACCACACTAATAATGGAACCGGTAATCTAACAGTAAGTAAGCCAGTTCTACAGAATAGTACTTGAAGGTTGGAGAAGGACAAACGTTTGAACGTTGTATTTCTGAGACTCCTATAATGAACAACTGCGAAAGTTTCTTCCAACTGCAGCAAATCAATTCAAAATTTCCAAAGTTTCAAATTCAAACTCAAACTTTCGAAACTATCTCTTCCATTGATACCCAGTCACAGAAATTTGAGACCTCTCTGACCTTTCTTCTTACTGAAATCCCTGTCTGTAAACACTCAGACGCGCTTGGAATTTCAGAAGATGACACCTTTGGCTGCACTTTTCTCACGAGTTTTAGAATCGGTAATCAGAGATTTTGCATGGTCGAAAAGAACCAGTGCAAAACAAGGTCATGCCATCAGTTCTGTTTGAATAGGCGAGACAATGATTCAATTTTGTTTTTCAAAAAATCCTGCATGTTACGCGCTAATTTCTGATTATTAAAAAAAACAAAAAAAATCAAAAAATTTGAAAAGTGTATGTGAATGGGAGTGATAGGCAAGTGGTTTAACGGACCAGGACCATCTAGATCAGAACATAACGAGTAAAAAGATGACAGTGAATAGTTAGTTAAAAGCGAGGAATAGTTGATTTTTTGCAACATCTGTAAGAAGTAAGCAGTAGAACTAAAATA